GATGTGAATGTACTCTCTGAACTCTATTATATGTGTCCTTAACTGAGACAGATTGTAATATTTTTCAATAAAAAAAAAAAAAAATTATCTTCAAGTCCACATTAATTATTATGTGGGAAAAAATTCTCTCAAGTAGTATAAAAAAAAAGTATATGTTTTTATCCTATCACCTAAAAGGACCCGTATTTTCAGCAAAAATTACAACAATTAATTGTTCCAAAGCTTTTATTCCTTGTTTTTCCATGACTTTAGATGTATTTATAATAAACATAATTGCCTAAATACACTTTTTATTAATAAAAAAAAATCTAAAATAATGATTTTTCAGAAAACTAGATTTAAAACCATGTTTTACACACAGAGTTCTATCAAAGGAATTGATCTGTATTTATAAGTGACAAACTTAGTGTTCCTGATCCTAATATTAACGTTTTCATGTCAATCATTGAAGCAATCACCAGGTTTCTTTATTTTTAAAAATAACCTTTAGGGCTAGAAAAATGTTTCAACAGCGTCAGGATGTTTTTATCTCTTTCAATATTCTGATAGAAATTAATAACAAAATAAAAAAAAAATTTTCATCCTTGAATTTCTTTTCTTCTGGATATGCTCTTAGCTTAAAATAATTCAATAAATGGTGTTACATTTTTTGATATATCATTAAAAGATGAAACCCTTTTAATTTATTGGAAATGGTAAAAATAAAATATTTATATTTATGATAAACAGCCTTATTTAATAATAATAATAATAATGCTTTATTTATTCTAGGATGAGTCCCTTTAGAATAATACAGAAAGACAAAAATGTGGGCTAAGGAGCCTCAGAGATTCATAAACAAGAATATAGTTGAATTAAATAGTCAACATTTTAAAAATAAATTATAAGTTACTTTCTAATTTAAATAAGTTAACAATAACAAATTGAAAATAAACATGAGGCTAAAGATATTTAGGCTATTCATATTTTTTTTCGAGATTTTTTAATAATTATTATATTTAATCTACATATGATCATGTATTTGTGAAAACTCTTTTTTAATCTCATTAATTTTACATTCAAAACATTTTTATAAACATTTAAAAATTATTATTTAACCTTTCAGCTTCAAAATCCATTTTCAAAAACTTTTCTGTTTTAAAAAACAAAACATTAGTCACATAAAAACATTACTTCTAAAAAAATGTTCTTAAATTAAAAAATTGTATTTATATACAATAATACTCAATGGTAGTAATTGTTTTATTAAATACAAAATGTTTTGTTTTATTTACTTTTTCCTCCAAATCTCCACAAAAATTCCTTTCTTCTCCCCATTTTACCAAAATTTTCACCTACAATTTCTTTCCTTTTAAATCACATTCATATTATCTGTACTGAGCTGTAGTGGATTTTTTGTTGAAAGTTGGAGAAAAAAAGAAATAAAACAAAAGATTTTATATTTAATGTAACAATTACTTCCATTGAGTTCTATTCTATATACATATTTAAATATTAAGACATTTTTTTAGAAATAATGTCTTTATGGTTATTACTGTTTTGTTTTTTAAAAGAGAAATTTTTTTTTAAAATGGGTCTTGGAGTCTAAACGGTAAATAATAATTTTTAAATGTACATAAAAATGTTTTAAATGTAAAAAAAAAAAGCTGTGAGATTAAAAAAGAGTTTTGATAAATACTTAATCATATATTGATTAAATATAATAAAATATATATTTCAGTGTAGAATTAAAAAAGCTGCTAGAACTGAACCAGTTTTGGTAAAGATAAAAATTGTTTTTCCATACACTATTACGCATTGAAACTTATATAAAATCACCGGATAATTTGAACATTATTCAATAATTTATTACATTTGCCTAATTCATCAGGATTATATATAATACCCTCCAATTAATTAAAATCACCGTATTAATTACATTAACCATAAACATGTTCACCATATACCCAGATGATGGGTCATTAAACTAAACGAGAAGGAACTTGATATAATTAATAACACATAGCAATCCATCATACCTCTTTGCTTTTAATCTCGTTAACAAGATGAGTTGCTAAAAAGAATGGAAAAACAGCAAGAAAAAGGTTAAAAACTATCAAAAAATAATTGAGGATTTAATTAATTGTTATATTTTTCTTAAAAATTGACTTCATCTATTTAAGTAAGCTGTACTAGGAATGGTGATAGCCGATAGTTTTCCACTATCGATAGTTCGATAGTATCAATAAAAACTATCGATAGTATCGAACTATATATAGTTTAGTTTATATATTTACTTTAAAATGCTGCATAAGCTTTATAATAATTAACATTTATATTGGGTACATTCTTAAAGATTTATGTTAAGGCACTAATAAAAATTATTAAATAAATAATTATAAAAAATATCGACAGGAAAATAAATTTATATATAAAAATAAATTTTATTTATTTACCTGATTGTTAAATTCAAACAAGAAACATCAACGACATATAGGTAGTATTGTTTTAACTATTTGGTTAAAAAAGGCTCTTACGATTTTAATTAAACTTGTTGCATCATTTTTTCTTTAATGCCAAATTAATTATTCTTCTTTAACTCCAATTAACCTTATGAAAAAGTCTGGCAAGGTTTAAAAGCAATGTTTTAAAACTTTGTCTTTTAAAGTACTATTGATATTGTATATTTGTTATTTCAAATTTAATTATGATTAACTATCTCACATTTTAACAAGAAATGAAAAATAGTTAAATGTAAATAATGAAAATAATTTATTATTAAGAGAAATAATGGTAGTTAAATGTGAACTAGAAACAACGGAAACAACCGAGAGTGCCCGATCTTTGCTGATCCCCCTTCCATTTACGAATATCCGAGAGGCTTTTGGCCTAACAGTACAGGGCTTTCGTACCGTTAGTTTAATTAGTATATTATAATTACGCATAATTTAAACAAAAATATATTTTTCCGAGAAATGTTGATGATCTGCTAGTATGTAATTGTAATTCATAACATATGGTAATTAATTATAAATATTAACTCTTTTTTTAGTGGAAGATATCTTGGATGAAGCTTTTTCAAAAGATCCACTTTTCCCCACCATCATTAATATTATTAGTTATAATGTACAGTAGTAAAAGAAAAAGTAATACAAACATATATATTTAACAGATTCGATGGATGGGAAAAACATATTAATTAATTGTTTTTAATGAATACCCTATACCGTCTATGAGTTTTACTTTCACTTCTCTATTTGAGAAAATACCTATTTTTAAGCTAAGGAGGGTGGTAACTGAAAGTTGTGTGATGCATACACCAGACAGTAAATTACTATAAAATATTGGAAAGCCAGCTAAACTCTGATCTTATTCACACTATATTTTAGTAGGATTTTTGCATATATTATATAAGAAAAGTTTGGTTTCAATTGTGAATTTAATATTTGACAGATGGCGGAGAATATTTTGTCTCTTTGTCGTTTTGTCATTGGTTTCTTTCTACAGCCCTGATTTATACAAAAATACAATGACAAAATTCACACTGCATTTGGATATGTAAATATTGTAAAGTACATAAAGTCCCACTTAATCACCTGACTGTGTCAAGTGCAATGGATGAGTCAAACAAATCTTGCAGTAAAATATTTACTAAGGGATTTGTTTGGCAAGAACTGAAGAACGTAAACTTGGGTCAATGATGCTAAATATTCCAAATCATGAATCTTTTGAATTCTTTAAAATTTTAAGAAAAATTGAATATTTTTAATAAATCTTAAATCATAAATTTATTTAATTTAATTATTAAACAAATAACTGATTAAAAACAAAAATCAAAAGAAAGTTATTAAGCAATGAGAACAATGAACTCATTTTCTGAAATAGACGTGAGGTTGTGGTCATATTTCACTCTTGAGTCAAAACAAAACATGGACTACCCATCTTCCGTATCTTACTACAAACCTCTTCTTTTCGAGATTATTCAACTTTGAATAAATAATTGTGTTTGTTTATGTAATTATTTATTTCTGAAATCTAATGTAAACTATCAAGTACATTTATATAAATTTGGACTGAAACGATCTATTTAAAGCCTGTAGACCAGATTTAAAGAGAAAGCCATGAGGAATCAATTATAGTATTTAACACATACAAGTACACAGTCTTTATGTATTAATATATAACTAATGTCCGCCCAATGGTCGAAATTGGACCATAATCACTAAAAATTTGAGGAAAACATATAATTAAATAAAAAATAAATTGAATAAATAAAGAGTTAATCAAGATTCAAAATTCTCATATATTAATAAAAACAAAATTTCAATTTCAATTAAAAAATCGAACTTAAACTACTTAAAATTATTTATAAGTAATACAAAATAGACTCATTCTAAAATATTTAATTTCCATTTTAATTTATGTGAGTAATTATCATAATAAATTAATTTTATGATTAAGGAAGTAAAAAATTAATTTAAAATAGCAATTTCAATTCAATTTAAATCAATTTTTATGTTGTTCTTCTCTGTAAACAAGGTTGTTTTTGTTTCGGAGATTAGCTGTTTTGAACAAAATACCATTTATATTTTTATTTACATACACTATTTCATATGTTTATTTATTGATAACACTAAAGCTAGTCAATAGCTATTAAATAACAAAAATAAGGAAGAAAATCGATTGAATAATAAAGGAAAAAAAAGGAGCTGAACCGTTTTGTGTTTGCCTATTTATATAATGGTTACCAAGAGATTACAATTATAACTATACAATAATAGAAAAGAACTGACTAAAAATTGGTTAACCGATTTGGTTTAAAATAACTAATAACTAGTAAGTTAGTGAATAGCCATTAAATGCATCTATTCCTTTTAAAAACATATTAACATTTTTTATTAAAAGTAATTTTTCAGCATTGTTCAAGTAAATCGATTTTATTTTAAAGACAACTGATTATCTCAGAAAAATTAACAACTTATTAAAAAATTAACCACCAAATCTTACCGCCTGCTTGAGAAATGGAGTGGTAAATCTTTTATTTATAAATATATTCCAAATGCATACAGAAATGCACACACAAGACAAAATATAATTAACATGTAATATTATTTTAAGTCTACTATATTATAGAAAAATATTAAAGTTTTTTTTAATATATTTTCAACTTTTAGATCTTTAGTTCTTTTTAATCATTAGAATGTTTTATATACAATGAGAAAAAAAAAACAAATAAATCTAATACTTAATGTATAAAAATAAACATGTAAATGTTCACAGTATAAAATTCTCAAATATATTTTAAATTTATTATTATTAATATTATTTAAATATTTTTAAAAAACACACACATTGAAATTCCATAGTTTACTCAAAATATTATTAAAATTCAACAAATATTTAGGTATACAACAAGAATTAAAGAAAATAAATGGATTTCATTTTAAGAAAATTACTGAACTAAGTTGCTCAGAATCTAGTTTCTCTAAAGGCTGGCAGAGAGCAGCACCGTTCAGCAAGTTCATATTTTGTATAAACCTACAAACAATTTAATGGTTTCCACACAACCTAAAAATTATTTTCTTAAATTTTGGCGCTATATATTTAAATAAATTGTTTTTACTTTAATTTTATATTTTTAAATATTACTTTTCCAATGAAACTTATAATCAAACAGATAGAATCCAATGAAATAAAATTGAAAAAAAAAACTAATGACTTGTCAGAACCTGAATATTGAAAATAAAATCACATACATAACAAGATTTTATAAAAATTAATATAATATAAGCTGTATAACTGTTGGCCTTGGAAAAGATTTACAAAATTGGAAGAAATATCAGAATTCAAATAGATGTTGGTTTATTGCAAAAATCATTAAATACGTTTTTGATAGCACTAAACTGTAACATGCATTTTTGTGAATTTCAACCCTATTTATCAATACAAAAATAAAGTAAGTATATATAGTTTTATACATGGTATATATAGTTTTACTCATTCTTAGTGGGCAAACTCTGGTGGATGATTCTAGGCAAAATTTTGCAACAAAAAAGTTCATTTAGTGCATGGGCCGATTCTCAACAGAACAGCAGTTAAGATCAATTTTGTATTGTTTTGTTAAGGTGGTCACGTTTTATATTGAATAAGGAGGAATTGCTCAAAAACTGTTAAAGATAATTAAATTCTAATTACAACATCGTGAAGTAGACAATATTTTCTTTGAGAAAACAGTTTACTATGGCCAATGATAAAAGGGACTTTCAGGAAGTCTAATAACGCAAAGCCTACCATTGTGCCTAATTATTTCACGAATCGGGATAACAGAGATATGCTGCTCGTGTATGGGTACTATAACTGCAGCAGTACAACGACTGTATTAGACGTCCTGAAAGTTCCTTTTATCATTGACCTTAGTAAATTTAATCACTGTTTCCTCAAAGATAATGTTGTCTACTTCACGGTGGTGTACTTAGAATTTAATTATCTTGACAGTTTTTTAACGATTTCTTTTAACACAATAAAAATTGTGACCAACTTAAAAAAAAAACACACCGAATTAGTCTCAATTCATTTTGCGTTCCGAATTGGCTCATGCATCAAATTAACTTTTTTGTTGAAAATTTTGTCTAAAATCACCCTCCATAGTTTGGCCATTAAGAACTAAGACACCCTATATGTAGATTACTCTTTTTTTTTTTTAATATTTAAATTAAATTAAATTATTTTTCTCTTTAGACATGTTCATATAAATATTTTCTCATCACTAACCTCGACTTATTGCGTTGCAGGACTGATATCTGTGGCAGGACACATGCCAGATTCGAAGGATCCAGACTGGAATAAGTACCTTGTGTTTGCTCCAATAGCGAAGTCAGCATCAGATCTTGCTCTTGTGTTGAGGTGCGCTGCGCCTAAGGAAACAGAGAATTTAAGGCTAGAGGAACCGGTAAATTAATACAAAATCAAATTAACACATTTTATCAATATCTACAGCTATCCTTCGAGTTCTAATTTGCACAAGAGTCTCCAAACATGAATAAGAGCCGCAATGGATGTTGGAAAAATATCAAAATTTTTATCCTATAATTTTAATATCAATATTAAAATTTAACTATTGAAAACTGATAATTTTTCACAAAAAAAAAAAATAGTATCTATATATTAAATAAGTAAACAAAACCTTTTTAATAATGCTCTCAATATTGACTTTCTTCCACTTTTTATTTCATTTTTTATTTTGCCTTTTCAATAAATTTTTTTGTCTAGTTTCTAGTAATATATAGTTTTTTGTTGTTTATTTTGCAAATGTTAATAAATTGATACTTATTTTGTGATAACCAATTAATATCTAATTGTTTCTATTAAAGATATTATGAAATTTTAATGTTAACCCTCATCTTTTCCAAAGAAAAAGAAAAAACAAAAGCCTGAAGTAGTATCAATATTTTCTTTTGTTGATATTTCATTATTAACAAACCTCATCTTTTCAAAGATTAAAAATATATATATCTAACAATATCTACTGATATATAATAATAATAATATGGCTTAGAGAACCCGAATGTTCAGTATCAATACCTCCAATCAATATCTACACTCTTCCATCCACCGCTGATCCAATCCTGCCAACTTCACTTCACTCTACTCCTCAGACGCTTGCCAGTCAGCACAGCGCATATTAACTTTTTTAGGAATTCTGTCATTACTAAGCCCAGTGATTTTACACGCCCATTTTAAGAACCTCAACTTAATCATCTCAATGATATTGACCGGGTACAGTTCACGCAATTGTGTAATCTCTTGCGGACTCATTATGGACTTATCAGAAGGGATGGGCGGTAGAAATCCCTCTTGGCTAAGTCCTATAAACTTACTGAGAGGGGCCCTCCAGTAAGCCTGGAGGGTGTAACGTAGGATTGAACATCCTACTCACATATCTATAGTTCAAAAAATACCAGTCATAGATCTTTCTAAGGTAAAACTCTCATTATATACCGATACATACCTATTTATATTTTTTTCTATATTGAAATTTCTATGGGTCTCAATGACAATACCAGTGACTCCCAAATCTATGAATAGTAGTCGGCATAAAAATACTGATAATGGGTATTTCAAAACATTGGCATTACTGGTGCTTCAACATAAAAACAATTATGTTTTTCTTAGTTAATAGTAAAAGTTATTTATCATTTTTTTTTAATTCATAATATGCCATGAATTATATTTTAAATTCACTAAAAACAAATAAAAACGTAGTTTCTAACATTACTTTAACAAACCAAAGCAAATTTGTTTAAATAATTACATTGAAGTTCCATTTAAAAATTTAGTATTTTATCAGTACCTAAATATATAAACCAAACTGGACTATTTTTTCCAATGAATTCTATCAGAACTTGTTCTTATGTAATATATATATGTTTTAACTGAATGGTTTTAAGAATTTTTCAAGTATCTATCGCTTCAGTCTAGTGGAGGAATTAAAAGTCCGTATTCGGAAACATATAGTTTTAGTAATTAAATGTTTAAATTACCTAGGGGTTTGGTTTTAAATTCATTAAAAAAAATCTAACATCAAACCACTGAAATTGTAAATTTTAAAATTTGATCAAAATAATCTTGGCCATACTTGAAGGCCATGAAGTGTTTTGTATAATATTTAATGTTAAGTTGCATGGTTCCAGTAATAGGATACCTGTATCATAGAAAATATCAGTTTTATTGGAAAGAAGAGTATTTTAATATAAGACTATATCATGTTTTTTAAAAATTAAAATTAACTCAACACATTCATTGAAAACTATGTTTATTTAAGTAACAATAAAGTAACAAAACTATTACAAAAGAGAATGGTTTATCACATAAAATTTGAAGAAAAAAAAAATCTATCCACATCATATATTTTTCTGTATTTGGAAATAATATCAAAATACTTAAATTTTCAGGTTGATTTAGCAACACTAAAAGTATATTACATTGAAGAATGTATATCACCTCTTCTACAAAAAGTGGATAATGAAATTAAAACTGCAGTGAGGAAAGCAGTGATGCACTTCAAAAAATATGGAGTAGAACCAAAAAAAGTAAGTAGAGATCAATATATATATATATATATATATATATATATATCAATCTATCAATATCAATATATATATATATATATATATATATATATATATATATATATATATATATATATATATATATATATATATATATATATTAATCTATGATTTATTTTAACTACACTAATATTTTTTTATTCAAATGAGATAATTTTTATAAGTGATACCTTAACCATTAATTAAACTGTTGGGGCCACAGGTATTTCGAAATTAAAATACAATTCTTTCTCCGGTGAGTTTCCTCATTGGTGGGGAAAATACGAATAAAATTAAGAATGGGAAAAAAGAGTAGAAGATGAGACCTGTAAATATTTTTAAAAAAACATGCACAAAACAATACCAAATATGATATCTATGGATCAATCATGGGATTGAGAGCCCATATAAAGTGGGTAATCTTAATTAAATAGTTAATTACAAAGAGAAACCTGGCAGTGGTGTATGATCTCGGCCCAATCATCTTCTTCCATGATTAATGACAAAGGAACAGTTCTTCCTTACAAAGTACTGAACCCTAGGCCCTTCATGTTTTTTAGTGGTACAGGTTTAATATATCATTGAAAAAAACATTAATTATAGAACTAGCTTTTTAAATTTATAATTTATTTCTTTTCAGATCACAATAAAAGATTTCGACAAATCTCTTCAAGCAACATTGACACTCATGCTCAATCTGGAATGCCCACACATTGTCTTCCAAAGGTCAGAGGACACAAACGTAAGTAAAGGAAATAAAATAGTATTTAATGATATGATTATTTAAGAACTTAAATAATTATTTAAATTGAATGATATAATGTCTCTGAATAATTACAGAAGAAATTATGAGTTAATTAAGGTAAAATAGGGAATTTGTTATTTTTTATACTATATTATAAATTAAACTGGAATTTTAGATATTATGTCATTCTAAAAGCAATAGAATAAGAAAAATAAATTTGTTCATAAGTCCTAAGGGAGATTTTTTTTATATAAGGTATATAAAAAGCTAAATACAGTTACTCTCCCAAAATTTTCTTTATGTACGCAACGTTTCAGGAACCACTTTAATATCCCATATTCAGACTAGAACAATTTATATTATTAGTATTTATATTTTTAAATGCATATATTTCTATAACTTATCACATTAATCACTAGTTACGCATCTTCCCTGTTTATCATCTAATTTATTCAAACACTTGTCAATTATTTTGTTATTATAAATTATCCTTAATGAATGCAATATTTTTTTCAGTATTGTTGTTATATGTATATAGTTTCATAGAATCTGTTATAAATTACTGAATTAATTCACCTTAAATATACAGAGTGGCCCGTAAATAGAGAGAAAGGTAGGGTCTAGTCAAACACTGATCTAATTTATGTATTACGGATCAAATTCCAACAGGTTTGTTATTTCATATATTTAATCTATTAATTATGTGAGCATAATGACATCCTATTTTGGCTGAATCTGTTTTATAATTTATTGCTTTATTAATATAATTTGTGATGAAAATACATTCAATTATTTTTCTATTTGTACTATTTGGTTCTTTGTATATTATTAGAGGTCCTGTCAAGTCAAATTTATGGCTATTTATGTTACTGTGGTGAGCTAGGGCTGTTTTATTATCCAATTTAGTATTATTTGAATCCTTAAGATGCTGATTCATTCTGTTTGCAATATTTTGTCTAGATTCTCCTATATATTGAGTTAGCAAATAAGTCCTTTCGGATTTTTAGAGTGAAATAAAACTCAATGTATTATAGACATAACATTTATTTTAATCTGCAATATATTGACCATTGTGACTTTTTCTCATCTTTCCCCTAACTGCATAATGCCATGTTCATAGAATGTCTAGAGTTTATTGTTAAAAACTGATCCAAGTGGTTTTTGATGTCCTCTTCCTTCTGGAATTTCTTTCCATTCATGAAGTCCCTCAGAGACCGGAACAAGTGGCAGTTACTTTGAGCTAGGTCTGCTGAATAGGGAAGGTCCCAAGGCTAAATAATTTATAGCGAGTGACCAATGAGGTGTGGGGCATAGCGTTGTCATGGTGGAACACAACACCCTTCCGATTTACCAGTTCTGGGCATTTATTTTTAATTGATTGATCCAATTTTGTTAATTGTGAGCAGTATAGAGTTGAATCAATTTTTTGTTCTGATGGCAATATCTCATAGAAAATAACACCCTTGAAATACCACCATATGGAAATTTCCTAAATGAAATTTGGCAAACCAATTTTGACAGGTTTGTCCGGTTAAGGCATCATCCCCATTAACATTGCAATTTTTTCTATGAGCTTCTGCAGCACGCTTACCTTTTTTAAAATAATACAACAAAATATGCTGATAATGAATATTTTCTTCCATATTCACAGTGCAATAGCAAACACAATACTAAGCTAGTTTCAACAAGAGTTAACAGATATAGTTTTTGACATATTACAAACAGAACAACAATAAACAATAAACAATCCACCTTAGGGCTTAATTCATCAGATAAGAAGTGTATCATAGTGACATAAAAATAAACAGAAAAACCGAAAGGACTAAATTGCCAACCCAATACACTGATTCACAATTATTTTATCATTTTACAAACAACATATTTTCGTTTTAAATTATTTATTTTGTCTTTCATGTTACTAAGATGGTTATAAATTTTATTTTGATTATATAAACCTTGTATATTAATAAAAGAAAATTTTGGGAGAGTAACTGTATTTAGTTTTTCATATACCTTTTTCATATGAAACAAAATTAATTAAAATTCTCTAATTGAAAGAAATTGTCTATAAAAAGTAAGTTATGAACAAATTTTACTGCATTTATGATATAACATCCCAGGTCGCATTGAAAGCAGCACATAGAAAAGAAAATTAAATAGTTAAACATTGAATAATTAAGATTTTAAAGTTTAAATTTTGAATTTGTATTTAATTATATCGTGGGACCTGTGAAGAGTGTATTAAGTATATTTTTATAAATTTTATGGGTATCGCCAGAGAGCTAATTGTACTGTCTTTCTTTGTGTCTAATGGGCTAAGTTATGCACGTAATACTGAGATTAATGTTCCTCTGTAAATCATGGGTCGAAACTTGAAAATTAAACTTGCACCAGTGAAAATTCCAAACTTTCAATTACATTTTTCCAAAAATATGATTTTTGTACTTAACACACTATTCAGAAGTGTCACAGATATAGTAATACCAAGGATGTGGGAGTGATGTAGCTCTGTGAGTAAGGCTCTATGCTCTAATCACAGATTTAATCTTGCTGTGACAAGTAATAATTTATTCTGTAACATCAGTTATGGAAAGGTAGAACGGAAGATAACTCAGGAATCAAAAGGCCCTCTTGAGGCAAACATTTTTATTTTCCTTACATGCATCAGACCGCTTGGCCATTCCATCCCCTCCAAGACCCTATAAAATGAATATTCTTAATTATATAACATATTAATGCATGAACTGTATCCAGTTAATATAATTGAGGTTATTAACGAAAGAATTTCTAAAAAGTTAATATGCGTTGTACAGATTGGCAAGCGTCGGAGGTGTAGACCAAAGCGAAGATGGGAAGATTGCGTCAAAGCTGATTTGGGGGTGGGAGGGGGTTGTGTTTAGACGGAGCACGGTGGATGGAAGAATGTGGACTTTGCTAAGCCCTATTATTATTATAACATATTAAGGAGAAATTCTCTGATTATTATCTTGGTCAAATCACCTTCCACAACCATTGACCAAGAAATAGTACTTTCTCACAAAGCACTGAACTCCAAACCTTCCATGACTTGGAGTGGTACAGGTTTGAATAATGAGGATATAATTGGAAAATCTCATAATTTCTAAAATTTAGGCCATTAATGTTTCAACAATCTAGGCATCGTTAGGACAACCAAGTTCACAAAAACAGCTAAACTCACATCAACAATCCAAAAAAATATGCATCAATTAGAGACAGTAACTCACTCTAAGTCATCGAAACTAGTATTAAAGGAAAGATAAAAAATAAAAATGAATTAAAGTCCTTCAGTTTGAGTTTTTTCCTCTTTCATATTTATATCTAACAAGATATTTTATCATAAAAAAAAAAAATAATTCATTCATATTATAATTTTTTTGTTTCTTGTGGTAAAATAAATTAATTAATCTATTCTCTTTTGACAGGATTGGACCATCTGGACAGTTTTAGGCGAATTACTGAGAAAAGGTGTAGGCTTCGGAAGAGTGGCACTATATTCTATCGTATTCGGAATCATGAAAAAATATTTTCAGAGCTTACCACAATCCGAAAGAGATAAATGCCAAGAATTTAAAGAACAGTTCACGAGATATTTTGAGGTAGTTAAAAGATAAAATTCTAACTATCATTAAGATATAATAAATCCACTTGTGAAGAAAACATTACTGAAATAAGAATCAATAAAAAAAAATATTACATTATGGTTTCAATCAACTTTTTCCAGCTAATAGAAAATATTTTCATAAAATAAACAGATTTTAAAATTTCCAGTAAATTACTCAAGGTGTAATAAAAGTGGTGAATCTAGTGAATACGATAGAGATACTCTATAAATATTGAACACACAAAGTATAAAAATTCTTATTTTTATGGCAATAGTAATAAATAAAAATCTCGCATCATCACAGAAATATATTTTCTGATCAGCTGTGGAGTTCCGATCCACACCCAGTCACTATAAATCGGGTATGTACGAGGGCAAATTAATCAATAAATGGATTAAGCAATTACATATTAAAGGGTTACCAAGGTCTTAAAATATTGTAACTAAAAATTTTGGGAATGTTCAAAAAACCAACCATGAATTAATGTAACAAGTATAAAATAAAATGTTACATTATTGGTCCCTGAGTTGACTCTTGACTTATTTTTTAGTAAAGTCCCAAATACATACTGGTTAGACTCCATAGTTGCACTGATCCATTCTTCATTTTGGAAAGCCATGTACAAATTCAAGAATATTCACAATAATATTTTTAAAAATAAATCTATATATATATATATATATAAAAATGAATGTATGTCTGTCTGTCCATCTGTTTGTCCTTGGTGCATTACTAAACCATTCATCCGATTGCCATGAAACTTTGGGAAGTTGTTCCGTACACTCCTGGGAAGATTTCTGGCATATTACTTCTGTCTTACGATAATTTTATATATGTAAAAAAAATGTAAATGTTTTTCTGTTCAAAGCCGCAAAAAAATGTGTCGCTATAAGTTGTAGCGCCAAAACGGCTTTACCGATTTTAACAAAACTTGGCTAAAGTCTTCCCCTTGAAACCCTTTTCATTTATGTGTATAACATACTTTCCCAAAAACAAGCTGAAAAATATTACGATGAATTCAATATTTTATTTGACGATAACTAAAAAAGTAAAGAATTTTTGACTGATAATACCCACATTTATTTGAAAAATTCTTGATTTGGTGACAAAATAAGAAAAACCATCGAAATCGGACGGTTCATTGCAGAGTTATAGAGTTTTAAACATTTACTGCTTTCTCTTCAGAAAAGGGCATTTTCTTTTGCTTCCTTACTACTGAAGGTAGGCAAGCATTTTTTTATTTTTTTTTTTTTTATTGATTAATCGAAAATTTTATAATTACTACAGTAATTGAAATTATAATTTGAAGAAGTTATATGATTCTCCTTATGTAGGTCAATACTATAATACGTTCTTTATATTAAGTTTTTATTTTAGTTTTATAAGTTCAACTCAGACTGTTTCTGATGATTATGAATGTTCAATTTGAATCATGAGAGAAAAACAATTAGAATTAGTTTCAATTGAAGCCATTTTACAGACAAAGTTGCTTCCCATTTTTTTAAAAATGACAGATGTCCTTTGCTACTAATCTACTCATATGTGCTTTTATTTTCTTTCTTTTTCATTTTGCCAGGCTGAGCCACAGCAGTGCATGGCCGGGTAAAGCTAGTATAATACAAAACCTGTCATGATAAAAACACTACAAAAAAAACAAATATTTAATCACTTCCAAAACAATACTATCTGTGGTTAAAATCAGTGCCTTAGACATTTGGCGCACCTGGCGTCGTCTCCCCCCCTTCCCTTTCTTTTCTTCACGGAAAAGATTTCATAAGCTGTTTTTAATTAAGTAATATTTGAATTTCATTTCGTTCGACATGTCTTTAATTAATTTAGTAACTTTATGAATTATTCTCGTTCGCTTTGTAATTTTTTTTTCATTCATGACAAGTGGTGGATATCTCACCAGATCAGTGCCCTTAGATAATTATCCGGCCTTAAGGCAGCACTGATTTAAATCACATATTCTGTAAAAACATAGATCCAGACAGATCACTACTTTTCAGTAAAACGTAGTTTATAGGAAATTTTATTTAGTGTTGCTGTTTTCACTATTGTTACATTGCATAAACTAGAAAGGGATGGACAAATATGAAATTAACAGTTTCGTTATTTCTACACATTTGTAGCTATTGATGTCATGACTCTAAAAAGGTAAAAAATCAGATAAACCCAATTTGTTGAATTCAGTATAGAACAACAAAGATGTATAAATTTTAAGTTTACTTCAACAGTAAATTCAGTGAAAAAATAGTATATAATTTTGATTTTGCTTTGCACGACCTCACGCAATTCTCAGTCCAGAGGTACCTTTCCCTCTCCCAAGATATTTTGTTGCTATTCTCTTCAAAAATAGTGCGAAGGAAAGGATAATTTAAATAGTAATAGATCATATACAATTACATTATTCACGGTCTGTTCAATGTTTTCAGCTTGTTAGCTGGTTTGAAACTTTTTATTTAAAAAATTCATAACTCTGTCGAAATGCGCCCCCTAAAAAATTTGTATGGCACAATTTGCTCCATGAAATTCCCTGCTGGGTACTCCTGGCCCACCTGATTTAAAAGGATGTCTTTTTAAACAAACAATTTACATATAAAATACTGTCATTTATTTTATATAATAATTGAATTACTTCAGTAAACAATTTCAATCCAATGACAGTTAATTTGTTTAGTTATTAATATTTGGAGAATTTCAAAAGCATTTTTTTCCCATGTAAAGAAGGAAAAACTAATTATTCTACAACAATAATCACAAAATTAAGTTAACAAAAATTATTTATAAAATACTTCTGTAATAAAACTATATAAATTTATTTTTTTAGGAACTGCTGGGAGATAATGGAGTATTGATACTACCAGTATTTTCTAATCCTGCACATCACCACTTCAATATGTACAGTAGATTTTTAAATACTTCATATCTTAGCATTTTTAATTTATTGGAATTACCTGCAACAGCGTGCCCGACTGGTTTCAGCAGTAAAGGAATGCCAATAGGAGTTCAGGTACTTTTTAATTTCTCAAATAGATTAAAACTCATTGCTTGGTGTAGATTTCAAGAATTTTAATGTAGACTTATTCTAATTTTAATAATTAGAGACCGGATCTTCATGCAGTAAAAATCCAAAAATGGTGCGGTACAAACCCAAAATTGTCTAATTTACACCTAAAAACATGCAAAAATCGTATATTTTTTTAAATTTATAATGTGCGACATTAGTAACAAAATAATCAAGAGAAAGAACATGAATGTTAGGTTATAATTTGGAAAAATTCCAAAATACAGCCTTATGCCTCCAAAATGGATGCAAAGAACAGTATGCATTTGGATTTCATGGAGTAATGTTCTATTAGCTGTTTTTCTGTCCTGATGATGCCTGGATTGGTGAAACGTTGATGATTTTCTTTGTCCCCATTTGGGAGACATAAGGCTGTTTGGTTTGGAATTTTTAAAATAATAACTTAATCTATAACGTTAATACATCGAAATCCTAACAAACCTTGAGTTAAGCTCCTGAATAAAATATTGTCAAAAAAAAAAGGCTAACATAAATAGTAGAAAACTTAGAGGACTCAATAATTAACTGACAAATAATTAAATATATTTGTTTGTATTTCCCTTAAATTGGTTAATTGACTGGCACATATAAATAATGAAGTAATGTAGAGGAACTTAAAATGATTAAAGATATGAAGGATAAGTATGTATTCTATATTTCAGACCAATTGATTTCAGATTAATTAAAAATAATATGTGCACATACATAATTATAAATTTTTCACATTATAATGAAAACTTCATTTTCTGATCGAGTTGAAATTTACAATGTTATACATTTCGAAATTTGTTTCTGAAAAATTATTTCTCTTATCCCTTAATATATCTCTTAATTGAGAATAGGAGCGTTAAAGATGAACTGATGTAAGGGGACTCATTTTGTAACAAGCAACCAATGCTGGTTCTTTGTCAACATTAAGCTTTTCTCCTATAATTTCTATAAAGTTTCTATAATTTCACTTTGTTTTTTAAGTGACGAATTTTGATATTCTAACTGAGTTAATGTTTGCGGAAAATTTGACAAATCGGGTATTACAGATGCCGAATTCCTGATGGTCTACGATCCACTTCAAAGCCGGAAGGGATATTGAAGGACTTAAGAAAGAGTGTGATTTCAAATCAAAACAAGGAAGGCAGTTTTTTATTGAATTATTGCAAGTTCTAATTCGAGAATAATCAATCTGCACTTGTGTTTCCTTCATCCTTTTATAACGTAAAATTTGAATTTTTGCCAGTCACATAATCATTTATCTTCCTCATATTTTTCTTTCTAAAATTATAAGTTTTCTATTTCTATTTTTTTAAAAACTTTTATTATGATATTTACAACTATTTATTAGTATGAATACATCTAGTAAATTTGTACAGAGAAATATTATTACATGAAACACTCTTGTTAAAAAACTACCCACTGGTAGCACTCTAATAATTTGTCTACATGAGAAGATCACGAGGCCATCTTCTTTTCAGACGCCTCGGAGGGTTATCAGGAATCGAAGAGGAAGCAAGGTTAGAAACAAGAGGATTCGGATGGTTATGAAGTTTATTATGGAAGGATAGGTATCTGGATTTGGCCAAATCAGAAACATATGGAACATTGAGGTCTTTATGGATTATTTTATTAGTGACAAAGTAAGGAGCATTGAGCGTAAAGGTGATTTGATGGGATTTATTAGAATTTATTTTAATCCTCCAGTTTTGACACCATTCTTCAAGGCTTGTGATGTGTGATTGAAGAGTTTAGGATGCAATGGTTGGGTCATTATTAACGGATAGGACACATATATCATCAGCATACGTGGTAATAACAGTGTTAGGATGGGTTGGGATGTCAGCTGTATAAACTGTGTAAAGGATAGGACCAAGGATACTACCTTGAGGAAAAAATTATAAGTTCAATATGGATAAGATAGTAAAATAAAAAAGTAAAGATTTACACACAAATATACATATTTATGTTTATAGATCATTTAATCTAGCACAAAATGTACAAAAACGTGCAATTTAATGCAACAAAAATCAAAATTGTGCAATTTAAGTCAAAGCGGAAAAACTTGCAATATAAAATTTAAATATGTTATTCCATATATCCTGAAATGGATAGATAATTGGGATTTTTACATGCAAGCAAATAAAATATGCAATAACATGGAAATTCGGTCTCTAGTAATAATGAATGAATCCTTAAAAGGTTATTAGAAATGAACAGATTGGTAGAACATTCGTAAGGTAGAAAAAAAGGTAGGAAGGAAAATAATTTTAAGTCCAGTAACAGATTTAGTATTTAATTTTAGGAGGCTTAACTTTTTTTTTAAGACAGCAATTACAGGACTTCTTCTTCTTCAATCGGGGCAACAAGCCATTACTGACTCCTGGCCTCCTCAAGCAGCTTCCGCCAATTTAATCTATTCAGTGCAGCTGCTCTCCAATTCCGTACTCCGAGGAGGGTGCTTGAATCCTCTTCAACACCTACCAACCATCGAAGCTTTGAGTGGCCTCTCGGCTAGTGTTCTATGTAGACACTCATTAATTAGTTTATTTGGGATCTCATCTCCCCATCCTAGCTACATGGCCTGCTCTGTTCTTCCGTCTTCTCCAAGCTGAACCATCCTTTACTGGGTCGTAAATGCGTCTGAGTATCTTTCTCTCAAATGTTTGGAGATCCCTTTCGTCAGACTTCGAAAATGCCCAGGTTTCTGAGGCGTAGGTTAGACAAATCAGCGTATTATATAATTTTATTTTTGTAGATCTTGATAATGAGCTACTTCCTAAGTGCTGACGCATTCCAAAATAACACCTATTGGCCGATGCTATTCGCCTCCTCATCTCTGCTGAAATGTCTTTTGTGGTATTGACCTGAGATCTGACACAAACTCCTCAACTCGTCCAAAAGAGTAGTTACCACTTCGAACAAAGCTTTCGTTAATACTTCTTTGTTGACTAGTAGTCATTTGGTTTTGATAGTATTAACAAGTCCTAGCTTCCTAGCAGCATAGTCAAGGGCAAGAAAGGCTTCTTTCACTACAGCTTTTGATCTCCCGATAATGTCGATAACATCAGCATGTACCAGGATTTGTATCATACGATTAAAGATGGTTCCACTGGTCTGAACCTTTGATTCTCTAATAGCTTTTTCCAAACCAATATTGAAGAGCAGACAGGGTAGGGAATCTCTCTGTCGAACGCCATTATGAGAGGTGAATCCCTCGGACAGATCTCCCTGAAACTGTACCATACACTCGGTATTGCTCATTGTAAGTTTTACAAACCGTATGAGCTTAACCGGTACATTGAGGTCTTTCATTGCCTAATATAGGGCCTCACGCTAAATGCTGTCATAAGCAGATCTAAAGTCAACAAATAGATGGTGCATCTGTATCTGGTATTTCCTTCTGCACTCAAGGATGGTTTGTAGAGCGAAAATCTGATCTGCTTTAGACTTACATTTACAAAAGCTACACTGATATTTCCCCAGAACTCTCTTAACATGCAGTAGTAATCATTGATACAGTATGTTTGAAAAAATCTTGTAGGCAGGCGCATGGGAGTCGAGATATGCCCCAATAATTATTGCATTCAAGAAGATCTCCTTTGTTATGAATAGGACATAAAACTGTCTTATACCGTGATTTTGGGATGATTTTTTCTGTCCATATCGAAACAAGGAGGTTTTGTAAGGCTTGGAAAAGCTGATCTCCCCCTTCCATGAATAGCTCGGCAGCAAGTTAGTCAATGCCTGGTTCATTGTTGTTCTTAAGCCTATCAATGGCAGCTTCACACTCTTCATCTGGGGGCTCAAGGTCATCTTCAGGGATTCGACTACGGTTCACTTCTTCCCGGTGAGCTTCCCATACCCGATTTCAATTGAGCAAGTGATTGAAGTCGAAAGTGAAAATTTTGGGCTGGAAATTAATCAAAGTAAGACAAAATACATGCATGTCGGAGCCGACAATGAGGCTGGTCCTAAGAACATTGAAATATGTGGTCTCTCCTTCGAGTGTGTCAAAAAATTCACATACCTGGGGGTGGAAGTGAATTCTGAAAATAAAATTGCTGCTGAGGTGTACAAGAGGATCATGGCTGGAAACCGGGCGTACTATGCTAACCTAAAATTTTTTCAATCATCATTTCTGTCACGAGAAACAAAGATAAGACTGTATAAGACTTTAGTAAGGCCTATTGTGACTTATGCAGCGGAGACATGGACCCTTTGCACTAGCACAATTAGTATGATGAATATTTTTGAAAGAAAAATATTGAGAAAAATTTATGGAGCTGTTTGTGAAGAGGGTGTGTGGAGGTATAGAAAAATGTGGAGCTATATGTATTATATAATAGCGCCAACATAGTTAACTTCGTTAAAATTAGGCGTATGGAATGGTTAGGCCACCTGGTTAGAATGGACCACAGCAGGATGCCTGATAGGGCATTGTTCTCCACGATGTATGGCACAAAAAGAAGGAGAATACCAAGGCAAAGATGGCTACAAGATGTTGAGAGCGACTTTAGAACACTGGGTGTGAGAAATTGGAAGGAAAGAGCAAGCAATAGGGATGATTGGCATGCTATGATTCAGGAAGCCAAGGCCCACCCAGGGCTGTAGAGCTACATAGTAAGTAAGTGATTGAAGTACTTGTTCTTGTTGTACTCAATCTCTCTATTTCTTCTAGCTTTCTATTTTCCCAGTTTCTTTTCTTGCATCGATGGATACACTTTTCTTCTCTTCAGCACAGCCAAATATAATGCCAAATATCAACTGATGCTCGGGTATGTTTCTTCTGAAGCATGAGTGAGTAGGCTTCGTTTTTGGGTGTTGTGACCTAGCTACATTCCTCGTCAAACCATTGCAACCTATTCTGTACTTGGCTGTGACCAATTACTTCTTCTGCTACATCACAGATAATTTTTTCAATGTTTGACTACATTTCGTCGACAACTTCATCTTCTTTAGATGGCACCTTAGAAAATATTTCATTAATTTTATTTACAGGACTAATAATGATTTTAGGAATAGAATTTTTATATTTTTACTTGACAAATTTGAAAACATTTTTAATGACAATTTAAAAACATAATATATTGTGATTGTTTATATATTACAATTGTTGATGATATTGACATTGAATCTTTACATTCACAAATCATGTTATTATAATTTTTTTAATATTTACTGTTTTATATTTTTAGATTGCAGCTTTTAAATACCAGGATCGATTAACAATAGCGGTGGCCAAAGAACTCGAAGAGGCTTATGGAGGCTGGGTGCCACCTTCCAGTGAACCAAATCATAACATGGTATAATTCTTGCTTTAAGAATATTTAGAACATGCACGTGCGCTGTGCATGAATGGTTATTTGCTCTCTTAAGCACGAAAGTGATAACTGGGATAAAGGTTTAAAATGGAAGGTTCGGAGGAATGAGCATAATTTGAGTGGTGTCAGAAATATGTAAACTTAACATTTATATAGAGAATTTGTCTTAGTCCCTAAATAACGTGTTTATAAAATTATATTACTACACTACATGCAGATCTTTCATGTTATTTATTTTTTATTTCTTATTGGTGCATTTATATTTTTGGTTTTACATCAATATTTAAACAACGGAAAGATATATTCATACTTTACAAAAACAAAAATTATTTTTATGATTTTGAAAAAGTTATTTTCACATTATTAAATTTGGAAAACAGGCACTGATAAGAAAACTAATACGCTCAGTTTCTGATAAAAGAAATATCGTGGAGTCAATGGGATTGGTTTCATAAAAAAACAGTAAACATTAAATAACTGCAAGTATATTAATAAAATACTTTTGTTATCTGCGTGTAGTGGGGGTTAATAAATGGAAAAAATAATTGTATTTTCAAAACATGTAAGCATAAGTTTTTAAGAATTTGTACATCACATGATTAAACTTAATAAAGTTTAAAAAATATGAGACTTGAATAAATATATTTAAATTTCAATTTGTAACTATAAGTTATAAGAAATCTTTGAAAACTGCAGCCAGAACAAGAGCTTATGTTGCATTTTGATATAAATTGTCTTCTATACAACTGTTATGATTTTAAACACTATATCAGGACAACTTTAAATGCATGCTTTATTCTATGCATATTATAAAACATAAAAAAAAATAAATGAATTTATATATACCAACATAAGCTAAATAAATAATTCTTCATTTCAAGATAAAATATTTGTTTTCATGAAAGTTTAATTTTAGTTAATAAAACTCAATAAGGCATAATTTTAAGATCTTCCATTTTTTCAGAAAATGTTTCTATTTATTAAAAGAAAATAAGTATTTGTCAACCAAAAAAAAAGACATAACTTTTAAACTCAAATCAGGAGAATAAAACAAATATTAAACTGGCTGATAATGTATATCAAGAATCCAAAGTGAAAGTGGCATAACTTGTGTGCGTTCTAATTAAACTTAATTTTAAACATAAGATAATATCTAAATAGAAATGTATATTTAATTCTGTTTCTTAACAGCATGTTGCTAGATTAGATAATATGTCAGGTGACAGACGCTTAATAAAAAAAAAATAATGCAGTACACGCATCACTTACCATTCTAATTCGAGCAGAAATAGGTATTTTCTCAAATTGGGGAGTAAAAGTAAAAATTAAAGACATTACATCATGGATGGGCATAATCATAATCAATGACCACGATTACAGTAATTATGATTACAGGGATCCGGTTTCCAATTATGATTGTAATCAGGTAATTGTGCGACATTTTTGCTGATTTTTAGTGCTATTGAATCAAGTAATGCAATTTCTATGTATGTATCAAATCATTAATTTCGTTCAGGAAAACTTTGTAAGAGATTAAAGAAAATAAATTAAACAATAAAATCAATTTTATATAACTATTTTAATCCAGAACTTTTAAAAGTTTTAGGATTTTTTAATATGTTTTGACCATTTACATGACAGATTAAAAATTCCATTGGGTCAATTAAGCTGTAGTGAGAAAACTAAAGACGTTTGCCAGATACTGAAATGAAACTTCATATCTTTTTTTGTTGTTGATATAGTCATAAATTGATTTAAACACTTACTGAGTACATTAAATTTTGTTCATTTGTAAGATAGTGTTTTTTAATAATAATAATTGACTTTTTTAAATATTTATAAAAATAGATTAATGAGTAGAAAATTTACCAATATAAGAAAATGAATTTGAATGTGCCAAAAAATAAAACACTTAAGACAGGAGTCCTCATCCTTTTTCTAATTTTAGAGATTAATATGCAAGCAAGATTAACCAATTTATGTTTTTCCTAAATTTATAATTGTTTAATATTGCTGAAAATAATTTTTTAAAAATTTGACCCGATCGCAATACTTTCATTACCTAGTGTAGGTAGGAAAGTAAAAAATTAATATATGAAAAGTATTGCTTACGTTCTCATTTAAAAGAAATCTGTGCAACCTGCATAGTGCATAGTGTGTTAAGTGCAAAAATCATATTTAAGGAAAAACGCAATTGAAAGTTTGGAAATTTCACTGGTGCAAGTTCAATTTTTGAGTTTCAACCCGTGATTAACAAAGGAATGTTCATCTCTCTAACAGCCTTATAACTTAACCCATTAGACATAAAGAAAGAGAGAAAAGTTAGCTTTCTGGTGATACCTAAAATTCACAAAATTGCACACAATACACTTGTCACAGGTGCCACAAAAATATCTATATAAATAAAACAAAGGTTTTGTCTGTACATTGAATAAAATCAACCCGTTTTATATCTTTCCGTTTCATAAGACCTTTAAAAAAATTTTTGTCTGTATGTCCGCATTGCCCAACGAAATTCTGTCAGGGGTAAGCTCAGCAACGGCTAATGGTAGACTTTTAAAATTTTGACATTATATTTAGGTTTGATTGACTTAAAACAAAGGCTTTGAATGAAAACAAAATATTGAGTAGAACCAAAGTTATGAATTTTTGAGTAATTTGTCTAGAGATTCCGGTTAGGGAGTTACTTACTTCGATTGTCATCCCAACCTACTCTACCGCGAGGCACATTTAAAAGTTGTACTATTCAACTGATGGAAAAAATGATAATAACTCAATGGGAAAAATCCGAAATCCCAAACATCTTTAACACGTCGCATAAAACACACTCAGTTTTCAACTTTGTCCGATCTTTCCGTTCAAGGTGTCGTTCGATTCAACTTCTCAAGCCTAAAAAATGTTGTCATTTACATCTTTAGGATTAAACAAACGGATTAGCTGGAAATAAAAAAATAATAATTTCACCCCGCCCGCCACAATATTCAGATCAAGTTCTAATTTTACACAGATGTAGGTGACTCAGTGTCCAATGTTATTTTGCCAGCGATAAAATCAGCAGAGTTTAAAGAAGTGGGGAGACTACAACTATTTTGGATTATTTCAATCGATTCCACAATTTTTTCACTTCATCATAAATGAAAATAAAACACTTATAAAATTTTAATGGTTTGGTGGTGGTTGGTTTAGTTGTGTAGCACCTAAATAAATAGCCGAATAAAAAAGTTTTTATTATGACTATTGCGAAAACTAAACTTCCACAAGCCCATCATAAAAATTTCAACATAAACCCCTCTCCACCCAATTTTATGAAATTAAATTTGGATCCTCCACATAATACAAAATTCATCTCAAAAAAAGATTTTAAAATTTTAACTATACACCTGTCAACGACGAGCACATCAGCAAGTATATACTAAAAATAATGTGATATTTGCATTGCTTTTCATTGACCAAGGCTTCACAATTTAGATAATATGTTAGTTTAAAACAATAAAATAAGAGATTGGTAAATGAGCATAATAACTAGTGATTTTTTATCATGCTTGAAAAAATAAGTAAAACAATGATGAAGATTGATTGGAAAATACTGTTAAAATGATTTTATATCAATAAATTACTATTAAAATTCTAATTAAATAACTAAATTACTTGTTAGAAACTTTATTTTAAAAACTCGTGAAACAGCAATGCTCTGTAAATCAATTTCCAGCTAACATGGTGATCACAGTAATAGGTTAGCTTTGGCAAGCATAATTTTGCCCACAAGTAGGCGAGATGCCATGGGAGCACGAAGTTGAGGATTCCTGTATTAAGACAATCATAACAGTAAACATTTTAACATGAACTGCCTAGAGTAGTATATTATAGGAAAATAAATAACTGACTATATCAATAACATATAATTGTTTGATAATGGCAGATAATTTTTTTTAGATACAGGTCGAATATTATATTGTTTATTAAGTCAAATATTAACCTTTTAGGAATTCTGTCATTACAAAGTTCAATTTTAAAAAATAATGTTTTTAAAATAAAACAAATATATTGATCAACATGTGTCGGAATATGGTGGTCTTTTTGACCTTAATCTGTTTTAATTAATATTAAAAATTATTTAAGAATCCCACTGAAAAAAAAATTGAACAACCATATCTCAAAAATAATAATGAAAAAAAAATATATATATACATAGATTTTCAATGTTCAGCTGTATTTAATATTATTTCTAGAATTAATTCAGAAATACTCTTTTTAATGGTTTGTAAATATTTAGGTATATGGTTTCAATTTCCGTAATTAAAAGACTACTTGTCTTGAGGTTTTGGATAGCTGTGATGTAATATATTTTATCATTTATGTAAATATAATTTATATGTTTTATATATAATTTACATACATAACTCGATATTTTTACTAGTATATAAGAACTCATTGTGTATAAAATTTGAAATAAAAAATAAAACAAAAATAAAATATTTTCTTAAATTAAATATAACTTTCGTTATTGTAATAGTTTCAAATATGATTACCATTGGGTAAAACAACTTGTACACCATTTAATATTGATGTTTCAAATTAAATATAAATATTTTAACGATGCTTATAATTCTGTTTTACAAGATATGTGTATGGAATTGAAAACTTTAAACATGACATAATTATAAATAAAAATATTTTCAAATATATAAAACATTATGAAAACCAATGTGTTGTTCATGTTTTTTCCTATAATATTTACAAGAAGCAAGAAACTGCAGCTGTGCTAAAATAAAATAACATAAAATTGATACTATCATAAAAATAGATGGACACAGCAATTTTATACATGCTGAGAGTAGGAAAAATGGTGGGCAAAAGAACAGCTGTTTGATTCACTATACTACACAAAGAACAGCTGATGTTATAATTAATCTAAGAAAGGCAATTCATTTATAAAAAACATAAAAAATAAATTTGAATACAAATTAAAGACGTGTATGATAAATGCAAAAAACTAAATCATTTCGTTTTTATTCCTCTTCCAAGAATTGAATAATGTAAACTTTTTGGATAGAATTTATTCAAAATTTATAAGTAATCTAAATAAAACAATATTTAGATAACAATATAGCCATAACTGTTTACAGTAGTTGCCATGCCTGCAAATATCACTTGGAAAATGTTATAGGCTGAAACTTTTTTTTCTATCAAAATATCTGTACCCCGCAGTAAAATATCTGTATATAATTTTAAAATATTTTTAACATATATATAATTTTTTTTCTATCAAAATATCTGTTCCCCGAGGAACACCATGTCCATTTTTGTAATTGTTCAGGAAATAAATATTCCATTTGAAAAAATTGAGCTATTAAAATTTGTTTTTTAGTTGGTAAATCAATACTCCTGAGGTATAAGACACATATATAAATGATGGTCAGGGAATGACAATATTTCACATAGTGGTATGTTAGGTATGAAGAAAAACATTATCAGCTATTTCATAACATTGCCATTTTAACCCTTCCTAAGCTTTTTAGAAATAATAAGAGTAGATCTCCCACCCACATCTTTTTCATTCTCATTCTCGTGTTGTCGTATATACGATATCAATTTTGTATTTATCACTATAATAATAATAATACTAGACTAACATTTGGTAATAAGAAAGAAAATTAAAGGCCTTTTCAGTGACATACCTAGACCATTTGGGGTCCAGGGTACCATTTTTTGAAAGCCCACAAAAAATCACCTGATGTGGTGCCAGGTGGATTTATTTTTCATTCAACATACCTAAAAAAAGAAAATAATAAATAAAAAACCTTCCATTTTGAATTAAAAAAGTATCGAGGAGTTAGTCGGGGATGCGATCAAATTAAATACTGTATATTACAATAGTATTTTATTGGTTATGACGACGTTTCGACCCACTTTGTAGGCCTTCGTGAGGGCGTTAAGTCAGACACTACTGTTGGAAGTAGTTGGGAGACTGAAGAGTGTTAGGAGACTCAGTCTCCTAACTACTACAGCAGTGCCTTACTCAACGCCCTGAGGAAGAGCTACAAAGTGGGTCAAAATGTAGGCATAACCAATAAAATACTATTGAAATATACAGTATTTAATTTGACTGTATCCCCGACCAACTCCTTCTCAAATTATAATAAACAGTCAACCATCTCCACACCATTATATAAAAGTATTGTTTCATAATTTTCATCTATTTCTATCATTATATTAGTTGTTTATAATGATAAGTTGAAGAATGAGCCAGCTGATTCTGAACAAATCAAGTAAATAAAAAATTTATATTTATTTTTCAATGGTCTATGCTATTGTTAATAAATTGTCACTCATTTTTATATTAATATGATTAATATAAAAACAAGGTGCCGCGCAAACCCAATCCCTTCAGATCGGCCTCAACATAATCTTCCCACATTCGCTTCGGTCTCCCCTTCAGATGTTTACCAATCAGCACAGCAAATATTAACCTTTCAGGAATTCTATCATTACTAACTTCAATTTAAAAACATATTTAAATCTCCTACTGAGAGGTCCAGCAAGAACCACACCCTTCCTCTCCCCTCCTCACCTGGAGATAAATCTCTTCTTTGGACACTCTGAAGATGAGATTATAAAGAATTATTGATAATTAAAAGAATAAATGCTTCAGCAAATGTGTATTCATGTGAAACTTAATATTACGAGTCTCTAAAAAAAAAAAAAGTTCACTTCAATATTGATAAATCAGGAATAGAAGAAGTTGGTTAGGGGTGCAGACAAAGGTGAAAGTACACAAACACAATTATTAATAAGTCAACTTAGTTATTAACGTAGATAACAATAAGTAGTGCTAAAAAGTAATTGTTGCATGAGGTTTTTAAGAGCATTAAGGAATGTTATATCAAAAAAGACTAACCAACAAATGAAATTACTGCATCCCAATAAAGTTAAACTTTCTTCAAACTGAACAATATTATTTTATAAAATGAAGACTTTTAAAAACAATGTTCCTAATGAATGCTACCGAAACATTGTTGTACTATAGGAAAAATAAAAAGATGTCTTCTTGTATAGTTTTTTGTATTTTCTTAGGCAATGAAAATAGATTTTAAAAGCAGTGAAGGAAGGGGGAGTGATGCAGAAACTTCCCTTAAACCGATTTTATAGCTTCAATTTTTATCATTCTAAGAAATATTATTTAAAAAGTCCTAGAAATGACAATAAGTATGTAATAAATAGAATAAGAAATAACAACTTGAGGATTTTAGGAGATACATATTATGTGTGGAAATGCCTCGGTTGTAAAGTAACATAAATAGGACATTTAACTTCAAGCTTTAAGTCATGATTCACAAGTGTTTACAGCCAAACTTTGTGCTTTCTTGAAAAGTAATAAGTTTAAATTACCTGTTCATTTAAGTGTTTAATGTCTATATAAAAAAATAATAATAATTAGGAGACTAATTTCGATCTTCCGTCTCACAATTTTTTTAAACTTTATTTTAAATCAGATAAATATTTAAACATTTTGGTGATTAGCCATTTTCAGTAACCTCTCCTCATTTATTTTTTTACTTAAATTACATTCTTAAATCCCCAACAAAGTTTCTTCATTGTGTTATTTTTATTTGTCACAGACAATGGTCATTTTTTAAAAACAGGTTCATAAAACTTTACCAATATTATCATTAATAACCTTACCAAACGTAAAAATAACTTAAAGTGAATACATCAAACTCTTATTCATTTAAAAGAGATATTTCTCTTTAACTTATCATTTGCGGACGATCAAAAATAATAAAATGTAATTTTATTATAATACTAAAGTCTCCTAAGAATAATAACAGAATTCAAGAAATATGTACATTAGTCTGGCATGTGGTAATAATATATATATACAAAAATGCAAAAAAATAAATAAATAAAATGAAGTGGCACTTATCAGTTAACTGTATTATTGTATTATAAATTCTTACATGGTTGCGGATGTTTAAATATCAAGTAGGTGGTGGAATAGGAATTTGTTTGAAGAAATTTGTGGATTATGATTGGTGTATAAAGAAAGGTAAGGAGTTCCAAAATGAAGTAGAACGAATAACAAAGGATTTGCTGAAGGAAGTGGTGGCAGGGATACCCAGAAGGGGTTTTCATAGCGCAAATTGCGCCATCAAAATTTTTGAGGAGGGCATATTTTGACGGTTTTTTGAATTTTTGAGCATAAGTGTAATTGTATATGATATATGTTTTTTCTAATTCTATCTTAGCTTGCTCTGTTTTTAAGAAAAGGTTAGCAATAAAATATTTTGGGAGGAGGGGGTAGGTTCTTGGGCCATCGATCTTGAGAGGGATGGGCACCCCTGATGGGAAGGGGTGTATAGATCTATAGGTTGAGATCTGGTATTAGTAGAGTAGAGGAACTTATAGTGAGTAATTCTAGGATGTATGCAGGATTAGTGTGGCAACTTTTGACCTATTCATAGCAGACAATGAAAATCTCGTAATTACATTTTAGTAAACTTTACAACAAATGGAAAATAATAATTTAAAAACTAATAGTCCTACAATCCACAATCATTTACAGGTTAAATATTCAGATATACTTTCAAATCTCTCTAGGCATATATGAGCTTTTCGGCTGACAGAATAATTCCAATTCCCACATTTTTTATTATTAATTTTAGTGATATTTCTAGTGGAAAAATGTATAACTTTATTCACAGTTCTACATTTAAATAATGCAATCACCTACTCTGGAACCAATTTACTAACTTTCAGATATTACAATTTTTCCAACTAGAAATATCACTAAAATGACTTTACTCAAAAATGTTGAATTTGGAGTTAGTCATTCTGTCAACTGAAAATCTCTATATATTTACATATTCTATATTTAACATTGGCGGTTAATTGTATAGCATTTACTTGAAAAGTAAGAATAAAATTTGAAAAATTCAGATATATTGTATATTGAATATCTTGTATATTGAACTCCCATCTGCTAAATGAAGTAAAGTGACCTCACCCAAAATTTTCCACAAAGCCTCAGCACTTTTCTCTACACCGGTGATAAGAAAGACATCTTTTTATTGTTCTTGTACAGTGCATTTTATTTATTTTTTCATGATTTAAAATTGACTTAATCGAGACATTTTTATAAAATAACAAATTTACTTATATTTCATTAGATACGTTAATTTTAAAACTATGAAATGTCATTTTTCTTTTTCTTCAGCAGTATTTATTTTATAATCTCAATAAAAATGAACAGTATTTGATAAAAAATAAATTTTATTTTCAGGTTCAGACACCACTGTTATTTACTAAAACTCATTATTGAATACAATAATTTATCTATCAAATCATAATAATGTCCTTTATATACCAAGTAAAAATAATAGAATATTTATGGCGGTGATTTATATGAGCATATATATAATAAGAATTTTCCAATGATATTAGCCATATTGTTATATTGGCACACAAATGAAAGACACTGCCCTTGAACTGCTCAAAGATTACCGAACATCCCTTTCTACGTGTTTTGCTGTCTTCAATTTTATATACTTTATAATTATTAATTAATTTTGTCACTACTGTTGTCTAACGGCATGAGACTTCTCACAGATCATGCCCTCGGATGGCAAAAACCTTCTGATAAGTTATCAGGCTGGTCTGTCAGCTGCAACAGCTCTCAATCTCATAACTTCCA